GACCACTGTAGAGACCACTGTAGAGACCACTGTAGGGACAACTGTAGAGACCACTGTAGAGACCACTGTAGAGACCACTGTAGGGACCACTGTAGAGACCACTGTAGAGACCACTGTAGGACCACTGTAGGAACCCGGAACATGTAGGGACAACTGTAGAGACCACTGTAGGGACCACTGTAGGAACCCGGAACATGTAGGGACAACTGTAGAGACCACTGTAGAGACCACTGTAGAGACCACTGTAGGGACCACTGTAGGGACCACTGTAGAGACCACTGTAGGAACCCGGAACATGTAGGGACAACTGTAGAGACCACTGTAGAGACCACTGTAGGGACCACTGTAGGGACAACTGAAGGAACCACTGTAGGGACAACTGTAGAGACCACTGTAGAGACCACTGTAGAGACCACTGTAGGGACCACTGTAGGGACCACTGAAGGAACCACTGTAGGGACAACTGAAGGAACCACTGTAGGGACAACTGTAGAGACCACTGTAGAGACCACTGTACGGACCACTGTAGAGACTACTGTAGAGACCACTGAAGGAACCACTGTAGGGACAACTGTAGAGACCACTGTAGAGACCACTGTACGGACCACTGTAGAGACCACTGTAGAGACCACTGTAGAGACCACTGTACGGACCACTGTAGAGATCACTGTAGAGACCACTGTAGGGACCACTGTAGGAACCCGGAACATGTAGGGACAACTGTAGGGACTACTAAAAGTTAAACACATACTCCAATAAGGTGACAAATCCAGACAAACAGTGAATACAGAATTATTTTATTTGTAATATTTTGGATCATACAACATAAATAAAAGCTTTCATTACAAGTTCTCATCAGCACCAGCGCCATATGTAGACAGGGTTCAGTCAAGACACTAAGTGACCACAACCACATATAATCAATGAACCCAAAGCCATATATAACCAGGGTTAAATCAACCCAGAGTCATATATAACCAGTGTTACATCAACTCAGAGCCATATATAACCAGGGTTAAATCAACCCAAAGCCATACATAGCCAGGGTTAAATCAACCCAAAGCCATATATAGCCAGGGTTAAATCAACCCAAAGCCATATATAGCCAGGATTAAATCAACCCAAAGCCATATATAGCCTGGGTTAAATCAACCCAGCGCTGTATGTGACCAGGATTAGGTGGTTCTAAAGGTGTACATTTTAAAATCATCCAACATGACCCCTCTCTCTTTGTGCTTCAGAACAATAGGAACAACATTGACACTGAAACAACTGAAGGAATAAATATTCTTCTTCCTGCTTCCTCCGACTTTATTTACACTATTAACACGTCGCCTGCGTCCAAAACATCGTCATGCTTCTGAGGAGAATCCTGCAGACAGAGTCGACACAGAAACCAGAACCTGAACTGAGCATGTATGGTGGGATGAAAATTAAACACCACAGAAGAAGACAAACTGAACGTCTGCATGTCTTTTAAAATCTCTCTCTGGTAACAAAAAAAAACTGATGTGTTAAGTCTTTAAACTCAACTAACTTTTTTGAACTAAGTCCTCAGAGTTTGCTCTTTCCATGGAAACATATATCTTTAACTTTATTCAAACTGTGAACATAAATCTGTGACATGGCAGACCGCTCAGTGAAGGAGTTTGATGTGACGTTGTTTTATCAGCACATTCAAAGTTTGTTTAATCAGGAAATAAATCCAGCCTGCTGATTGGTTAATCAGTTTGTCTCTGATTGGTTTGTTCTGGTCTTTGTTGTATTCGTGTCGTGACCTCTACCTGTGTGATCGCTAATAACCAGCTGAATCTTTGGAGTATGGTATCCCACAGGGCTCACTTCTGGGTCCTCGCTGCTTTTTTCACTGCTTGCTGATGACACTCGTCAACTAAACTCATCAAAACCCAAACAATCAATGTGTGACTGTTCTCTAAGCTCCGCCCCCTGATGCTCACATCATATACATTACAGACATTATTTACAGTGAAGATGGTGCAGATTTTTAACCTCTGTAAGCAAACAAGATGTTTTTCTTACGGACGATTGGTTCGAGTTGTTGTTTTGAGTGTAAACACAGATCACAATAGAGCGCCACATTAGCTTAAACTCTAATACATTAGAGAAACACAACATGCAAGTTGCTCCGCAAACTTTCAGACTTCAATGTAACATAGTAAAAAATTATATAAAAAAACAAAAAAGTAAATAAATAAATAAAGACACTGTTCTGTCTGAGTTTAACAATCAGGACTTTAACAAACACAGATGCTATGCTAACAGTAAGCAGTCCTTTTTATGCTAATGCTATGCTTACCCAGCTTTGTGAAGTGACACTAGCTTACAACTGTTAGCCATGCTAACATTAGCAACTAACATAAGAGCAAATAAACAGTTAAATTCAAGATTTGTACAAACGGATTCTGATTGGAAGGTCACCATTTGGGGGCGGGGCTTATAGAACAGCTGTCTTATTATTAAACTTAATTCATGATGATAA